TTTAATCTGGTCCAGATGTTTGTTCAATTTCTATAGGATTTAAGTTGATGCAGCATCATCTCAGATTAGTTAATGGTAGTTTTATACAAATAGTTGAGTTATGAGCGCGCTATATAAATGGATCCTTTCTTTAAATATAATACTATAGTAGATTAAAGTAATGAAGTTAATTAAGAAAATGTATACATAAGAAATCCCTAAAATAAATCTAAAGTAAAATTGGTATACCTTCCAATAATATGTTCTGAATACAGCTGTTAACTGTTTATTCTGTGTAAATGGTGATTGTGATAATGTGTGATAAGTGTGCAGTTTAACTTGAAAGTGGTTTAATTTATATGTTGCTGTATTGTTTTAAATTATATGTGAATCAGTTTGTCACAGTCTAGTGATACTGATAAGAATGACAACCAAATAACCTAGCAAATAACTGTTTTATTAGTTGTTGAATACTAGCGTTTTGGCCAAGAATAGTTGGAGATTTGGAGGTGTTAGTTTAAGATTGCTTTTATATTGTGTCTATCCGTGTTTCCTAGGAGGGAGACAGAGTGTGTAGTTGTGTGCCCATAAATGTGATTTCTGTATTGGCATATCTGCTGGGTACCCATTATGTGTTTCTACAAAGATATTGTTTTGTGAGATGATGTGTAATATTACATTGGATGCTGAGTATGAGTTATATGGTTTGAAATGAATTGGTGATTATGAGCTTAGTACTTCAGTAAGATGTGCTAAAATTTGGAACAAGGTGGAAGCTGAAATGTTGGGATTATGGAAGAATAGGTAGTCTATATTCACTGCTTTGGCATATAAGCAAGATGCAAAGGAAGAGATTGGTAATATGATTTTTGTAAAGAAATTTTACAAGTGTTGGAAGGATGAGGCAGGTTTGATGTCTGGAGATGATATAGATCTCTTTAAAATACAGTCATGCCTTGGTAATATGTTGCCACAGTATTCTTTGCTTGTGAAACAATTGATTTCAGACTGGGCCAATTTGGATAGCTCAGATTTTCTTACCAAGGTTATAGAAAAGGAAAATGCAGGTTGTTTTGAATTAAGAAAAGATTTAGGAAAGTAAGGTTGCTTATTATGCTCAGGGATTGCCACCTACACAGGCTGAGAGCGAGGATGGGATGGAGCACATAAAGCCCGTGGAAGGGGTGGTCAAAGAGGGGCAAGGGGATGGAGACAGGGAAATCAGGGTTATAGGGGCAGGGGTAACCAAGGAGGAATAGACAGGAACACTTGTTTCAACTGTGGACAATATGGCCACTGGAGGAATGAGTGTCCCCACCCCAGGAAACCCCATCAAACCCCACACACCCCACCAACCCCACAATTCTCAAAATATGCCCTGTAGGCAAGAACAACACCAGACCCACTCCCAACACCACTGGCCAGCATATCGCTTAGTTCAGGACTTTAGAGCCCTGAATAGTTTAATTGTGCCCATTTCACCCATTGTCCCTGATGTGACATCCCTCATTACAGCCATTCCACATGATGCCACTTGCTTCACTGTCATTGATTTAAGTAATGCATTTTTTCTATACCTATTGATCAAGAGACACAGCTACTTATGGTTTTTACTTTTTGAAGGCTGTCAGTTTACCTGGACACGCTTACCCAAGGCTATGTGGATTCCCCAGCTGTTTATTCGCTGGTACTCCAACATACTCTAAAAAACATGGACCACCGGTCATGGTTCCGTCCTTTTTGCAAAATGTTGATGATTTGTTGTTATGTAACCCTAGCTATGAGGCAAGCACTGTGGATACTTTCAGCAACTGTAGGTCACAAGGTTGTTAAACACAAAATGCAATTGTGTAAATCAAAGGTTGAATACTTAGGTTTTGTTCTGGCTTTAGGCACCAGACAATTGAGTCCAAAACGTATTGAGGTCATTCAGAGGATTCCTACACCCACTACTCGGAAGGAGTTGCTCACCTTCCTCGGCATGATTAATTACTGCCACCAATGGATCCCTGAATGCTCCCATTATGACTCAATCCTAAGGGAGGCTGTACGTTCTGACAGCCCTGAAAATGTCTGCTGGTCACCAGACATGCTAGCTGCATATATTGCCCTTACAGTTGTTATTGTGCAAGCCCAGGCTTTAGGACTACCTGTGTATTGTAAACCATTTCATTTGTATGCTTGGGACAATTGTAAAACCATGGCCGCGGTCTGTGCACAAGAGCAAGGAGGCGGTATGCGTCCCATAGCATTCTTTTCCAAAGTAGTTCGAGCTCCGGTACAGGGTATGCCGGCGTGTCTCAGAGCATTGATAGCATGTGCAATGGCTGTTGAAACTGCTACTACTATCACACTAGGGCATCATACAATACTTCATGCCAGTCACCAGGTCACTCAGCTGATGACAAATCTCACCACACAACACATGACAGCCCAGCGCTTCAGTGGTTATGAGATTCTTTTTTTAATACCCAGAATCTGTCTTTTGGATTAAACAAGGTTTAGAGAAAGATCAAAATGATCTGTTCTCTAAAGAGGGGAGAATAGGCATACTTGAAGAATAGGCATACTTGAAGCAAGCTGATTTATTTTCATCAGTCAGGCACATAGCAAGCACCATTCAATTCTTCATGAATTCATTTTATATTAGGAATCTCAGGCAGCATGTACAGTCTTTTGTAAGATCGTGTGAACGCTGCTCTTTTTACACACTTACAGATTGATTTTATTCATGTATCCAAAATTGGTAAGAAACAGCAATACTTACTGGTCATAGTTAATCAGTTTAGTAGATGGCATGAGGCCTTTGTGACATCTAGGGAAGATGCTAGTGAAGATTATTGTTACTGAAATTATTCCCAGGTATGGCTGCCCTCTGCAGATTGGCTCTGATAATGGCCCGGTTTTTGCAAGTAGGGTTGCCCAGGAACTTGCTAAATTCTTGCAAGTTACCTGGCAGTTTCATATACCTTATCATCCACAGAATACAGGGGTAGTTGAAAGGATGAATAGGACTATTAAGGAAAAGCCCAGAATTTACCCAGGAACATGGATAAATTGGACTAGATATCTACCAGCTATTTTAGCTGAGATAAGAATGAATCCCCACAAGGTGACTAAATTATCTCCATCTGAGATTTTTGATGGGATGACCTTTTCCCACACCCTGGGCCAGGGAACCGCTTGTTATAATGTCTGGGGATTTACAGCTAATACAAGAACAATATGTACAGGAATTGTTGATAAAACCGAATGGTATGTATGACAATGTTTCTTCGCAGTTTTCCCTTACCTTCACAGGAACCTACTCATTCATACCAGCCCGGTGACAAGGTGTATATCCGTCAGCTGAACAGGACCAAGAAAGGAGGATACCCTTTTGGACCACCTGCTACTGTGATTGCTGTACCCAGAACCGCTGTCCTCACAGATTCCCATGACATCTGGATTCACGCATCCCGAGTGAAGCTGTGTCCAAAGAGGGGAACCAAGGAAGACAACACCACTCCTCGCTCGGAAACAGAAGAATTTCTCCTCAGCGAAGCATCATGGCTTTCACACCATATCGTAGATTGAGAGGATCATACGTACCTGAGACCAAGATTATGTTGTGCGCTATGCTTTCTGGAGTTGTTATACTCCCTCTGATATTGTTCCTTGAATGCCATTATGAGTACAAGTCAATGGCAAGTTCTGGAAAAAGACTCTGACATGATGAACAATTCTTCAATACCCCCAGCCCAATTAGGCCTTAGCCCCTCATCTAGCATTCGTCACACACGCCCCCTCAAGAACCTTTCTCCACCACCTTTCTATCAGCATGTAATATGCAATCATTCATTCACTGAACGCATTTGGATGAATTGGACAAATAGTAACCCTTATAAGTACCAGTTACCCATATGAAATGTGTCTACAGCTAATGAAACCGATGCATTATGTTTGTTTAAAGGTTCACAGAAAATTGTTAGATCTTATAACGCAGAAATGTGCACAGTTAAGGTTGCATATCAATGTAAATAGACAGGCCTTATTACTTTTAATAATGATTATATAATTGGTATCATTAATTGGAGAAGGGGACAAATGTTAGTCATTATGAACGACACTGCAATTGAGAACTATACACTACCTTATATTTTTACACCTTATTACTGTCCTTTATCCACTAGTCAAACACATAGAACCAAAAGTCAAACACGACACACACACACACCTATTTCGTCCACATGTATTAATACAACTGCCTTCTTACAAGCTGTACATGTGTCATTAAAAATCACTACTCCTGTTGTAACATTATGTAATACAACAAACAAAGGCAGAAAAGGGAATGGTATGACACACTGTTAGGAGGTGCTGGAACCACTATGGGTATACTAAATAGTTATAGATATGGAGACCCTCAAGAATAAGTTAAACACAGCCAGCATGCATATAGGGACTGGTTTCCATGCTACTGCAAACTGGGCTCCAATTGTTGTTAAATCACAGGTTATAGGATTGGATTTAGATAAATCAATGTATAATTATTTAGATAATTTAACTGTTGCAACTATGAAATTCACTACAGGTCTAAGTAACTGGAGTACTTGTGCCATCAGGTATTTATGGATACAACAACAAGGATTGGCATTAGAAAACACACTAATGATTCCCAAACTAGAGAAGATTAGAGGAAAGCGTAACCTCACAGATAATGAATGGTTACTTCTAAAACCCCAATCCAGTAAATGCAATGGATGGTTAACTGGTAATGTTTCACATTTTTCATGCTCATGCTATTTTACATTATATCATACAACATCAAAGGATGTTAAATTAGCTTGTCAATTTAACACATTACCAGTACCAGTTTATGATCTTTTTGCCAAGAATTTAACCTGGTGGGCACCCACATACACAGGGGACTATATTTTTCCCAAAGATAACACACACAGGTAGCCACACATATCCTAAAAGGAGAACTCCTTAAGGTGAGTTCACAAATTCAGAATGATTTAGCCCATCATTGGTACGATGCTTCACTGGTTGGTCCCCTACTGGATCCCAGATAATGAAATCATTCTTCTATCCTTTTGTCATTATAGTCCTGATTTTATTGTGTATGATTTTATATAACTGTCACCTTAGTTGTACATTGAGGAAGTGAGTACAGAAATTAATCCATAATGCAGAACAGAAACAATTAAAAATTCTCCTCTCTGCCACTGTAGAGTATCAACCCATCTTTAAACTGGGCCTTAGGAATTACCACATGGGAATCGAGGTGAAGAAATTAATGAAAGTCCCGCAGGGAGTGACTAGCACCCCTGAAAATACCATGTGGAAGTTTCTCTGTCCTGGTAAGATTTTATCGATAAGATGAGCAATTGTTTTATTGCTCAAAGAGGGGAATGTAAGAATATTAAATAGTTAACTTGTTTATATGTATTTTATGCTTTTATAAGGTTTATAACATGATTATTGCTGACTGAAGGGATATTGAATACTTACATAAAATGCTGACTGTGACAGACTAATGTATTTCTTCTATAGGATGTAAGACAATGCTAAATTTCAGGATGTCTTGCCCATTCCGATTTTAAGGATATTCTTTTCCAGACGTATGCAAAAGCTTATCTTTCCATTGTCAGAATAACGTAATACAAGGAAGTAATAAATCTTATAGTCTGTACTGTATTTGCATATACCATGGCTAATGTAAGCAAACTATGTATAAAAGCCAGCTCTGGAATACACTCATTTGAGAGTCTTGTAAAGCTGTTGTCCGTGTGTTATTGCTTACAAATGATTCTCCATCAACGTTGATTATGGTGACCGAGGGATCGAGAACCGAGGGGATTAGAGTCCATTACAACATTAACCCTTTCAGTAGTGTGTGTGTGTGTGTGTGTGTGTGTGTGTGCAGTGTGTGTGTGTGAGGGTGCAGTGTGTGGGGTAGAGTGTGTGTATTGGGGGGCAGTGTGTGTATAGGGTACAGTGTGTGTGTATTACAGGGCAGTGTGTGTGAGGGAAGGCAGTGTGTGCATATGGGGGAGCAGTGTCTGTGTGAGGGGAGGCAGTGTGTGTATGGAGGTGCAGTGTGTGTTTATGGGGGTGCAGTGTGTCTATTGGGGGTACAGTGTGTGTGTGTGTGTGTGTGTGGGGAGCTATTGTGGGTCAGTGGGGGGTAGGGGGGCTGATTAATAAATATAACTAAGTTTTTTTAAATTAAAATTCCCTCTCCCTTCTTACCTTTGCCTGGGAGGGGGGAGAGTACAAGGCAATCCCTGGTGGTCTGGTGGATGACCCCCGATGGTCCTAGTGGGGAGTGAACTCTAGCCTGCAGTCCCTGAGGCTAGAGTTCACTCTTGCAAGAACTGGAGCGTTGCCGTAGTAACCGCAGCAACTCTCGAAGCTCATGAGAGAAGAACCTTCTGGTCCGTGAAGTCACACTGCAGTGCTGGCAAGGGAGAGCAAGGCTATGTTATTTTCTCCAGGAGGGGAAGGGGGGCAATTGCCCTATTGCCTCACCCCTGGATACTCCACCGTACTCACCAGAACAAATACATTAAGCTGTAGTTGTACTGGTGACTACATTTTCCCTTTAAACTATGCCTACAAATGCGTGATTAATACATGAAGCTAATATAACACAAACCATCCCAATTATTTTATTGGCATCTTTTTTTAAATTGCACTATTAAATTTAACTGATGCTATAATACCATTGAATTTGTGCAAACACAGTGTTATTACAGCTCAATCTGAAACATGTAATTTTATGAGTGCCATTAAAGATAACAGCCACATAATGTAATGGTTTAAAAAAACCCTCTTAATGGGACACTCTGAGCACTATAACCACTGCAGGCCATTGAAGTGCTTCTGGTGTGAAGAGACTGTCCATGTAGTCTCAGCAATGTAAACACTAACTTTTACAAGTTATATATGTTTACATTGCTGTGTAAGGGCATCTCTAGTGACTGTCACTCAAACGGCCACTAGACCATTTACACGTGTCGTCCTGCAACCTTTGACAGCTGACATTCAGCATCTTAACGCTCAGCATGAAGGCCCAAATTCTCTTCATAGGGACGCATTCAGTCAATAGATCTCGATAAGGAGATGCTGATTGCCAGAGTGTGACGATTGCTATGCATGCGCTCTTGCCCCCAAATGCTTCAGCATTGGGTAGGCTGAGACCATCTGTAATGCTATTCTAAGCCAGAGGAGGAATGGCGGCCATGGTAAGACTGTCGAGCCGCAGGAAATAAATGTGAGTAAATGTTTTAATTTTATTACTTCTAGGGGATCATTTAAAGGACCACTATAGTGCCAGGAAAACAAACTTGTTTTCCTGACTCTATAGGGTCTTTGGGTCCCCCCCACCCGCCTGGCTGAAGGGGGAGGAAGAGGTTAAATTCATACCTTTCTCCAGCGCCGAGGGCTCCCTCGGCGCTGGGGACTCTCCTCCCTCTTCCGACATCATCCTCTGAATGCGCATACACGGCAAGAGCCGTGCACGCAGTCAGTCCATAGGAAAGCAATGCTCAATGCTTTCCTATGGACGCTGGTGTCTTCTCACTGTGAAAATCACAGTGAGAAGCGCGGAAGCCCCTCTAGCGGCTGTCAATGTGACAGCAACTAGAGGCTGGATTAACCCGAATGTAAAAATAGCAGTTTCTCTGAAACTGCTATGTTTACAGCAGGCAGGGTTAACCCTAGATGGACCTGGCACCCAGACCACTTAATTAAGCTGAAGTGGTCTGGATGCCTACAGTGGTCCTTTAAGTAGCTAGTATAACGTTAGGGTAACATGTTTATATTTCTTTAATGTTTCTTTGGGTTTACTTAATTGTTTGTAAATGTTTGTTTCTACAAAATAAATGTGATTCAGATACATGACTTCAAAGCTTGGCTGAAAATGATCAACATTATATTTCATAATAATCTCATCTGCAGGTTTTGCCTGCCGAGTACCGATCCTAAATCAGTTTTAACATTAAAGTGTTCCTTTAAATGAGACCAACACTGGAAGAACACATAAATGTATAGTAGAAGGATGGGGAGGGCTTCGAGGTAGATAATAAAATAGTCTGGATAATAGAACACAGGTTGTACTATAAAGAGCATAAAGGGGGTGGGGAGTTAGAGATATGTTGGGAGGAGAGGGGGGCAAAAAAGACCATGCAAGTGACTTGGTTAGAAAGAGGACAAGGGGAGAGATGGCTAGATATTTGGTATTAATAAAACATAAAACATATATCCTCAATATGTAATAGATATCTGAAGGAATCAATAAAATTAAAAAAAGGAAAACCCAACAACCTCTTTCTATCTCCCAATGGTTTAATTCTCCATTCACCTTCTCCATGGAAGAAATAAAAAAATTTAAAAATGGGGTAATAATTATGCCGCTTGTTCCAATTATGCCGCTTAAGTCCAATCCCACTAAATTGGCAAATCACTGGGGGAAAAAATTTTTAATTGTGTCATAACACAATTTTTTCTCATTTTTATTGTGACTCTGTTCCAAGGTAGTGTTGAGAAAATATAAGGTTCATTTAAAATGACAGGATCATCTCACTACTTACAGTTATAAGAATGCTACTTGGAATATTTGTTCAATGTAAAATGATACCATCTGCATACATTTCTGTGCAGAACATATAACAGGGACAGACGTACAGATATTCAGAGTAGGAAATATAAAAAAGAAGAGGAGTTAGATAAGAACCTTCAGGACGATGCAAATTTCATTATGTACCATTATAGCCTATGCGTTCTTTGATATACAGGTCAGAATTTGTATTTATATGTTCATATTTGTTTTATTATAAGTAAACCATTGACATTATTTTTTTTTAGTTCAAAATACAATATTGGTGAATGGAAACAAGCATGGGTCAAAACATAAAAAAAATATTTTTAATTTTCAAGTTTGACTTGAGCAGCCTTAATCCTGCCACCATGAATCACAGGTGGCACTGAAGCTATTGATTTCTATGATAAATTAGGGTTTCGCAGATAATGCATTGCAATGCCCCCTGGGAAGGCTCTTCCAATAATTGACTTTGTCAGCAGCTGCCATGGCAACAGACAATAGTAGCGTTAGGAATGTAGCTTACGAGGTGTATGTGAAAATGAGTAACCCGTTAGTCCTGTGGTTATCAAAGAAAATTTATATTAAAAAAAATACCCTGTGCATAATGAATTTAAAAAAAACACACAAAAGAAACCATACATGTAATGTATACAATAAAATAAAAAGGCGTAATAACTTTAGCAAAATATGGAGGCGATTTATCAAGTTAAAAATATATGCTATCCTGGAGCAAAGTGCTGAATAAGCAATAATCACTGTAAAAACCAATAGATGGCTTATGATTTAGCACTTTGCATTCTAAATTGAACCTGGTTTGCCTTGATAAATCTCTACTAATTTATTAAAACAAGTATGGCGTCATAAATCACATACTAGCATTTTATCTCAATAAGTGGAGGCTCTCATCCCAAATCAATATATATAAATATAAATTAGATACAATTAAAGAAAATAGCAGACATGGAAGTCACAATTAAAAAAATAAAAGAATCTAGGAAACAGATTTGTGTTAGAAGTGTTTTTATTTGGACCACTTGTCCCGTAACAGGTTCTTTCAACAATTGCTTTCAATCAAAGGAAGATTGTGAGATTCTGTTAATGACTACCTGAGCAGTGAGTAATCCTGAAATTACTTTACGTGTTTTGTAAGGTAACTTGACCCAAGAACGTCCAACCTGACGGAATGTACGTTGTGGTACATAGACTTGTGAATATACAGTATGTTGTCAACATATTGTCACAGTTTACATAATGCATTAAGAAATGGTAACTAATATTCTAGGAACATTTTGAAGAATAAAACACAAAAATGCCCACACAAGCCAAAAAATAGCAGATTTTTCACAGTGATACAATTTCTTTGAACGCTAATGATCACTTGTGGATCTAGAACTGGTAATCAGCAGAATATTCAGATTTTACAACCTATCCACTTACAACGGCAGCTTCTATAAATATCTAGGAAGATGCAAGAATATTCTATACACTATTCCGTGACAAGATCAGACAAACAAAATATTAACTGGCACATCTTGTGGAATCTTTGCTGTCATAGCAACTTAGCATATTTTGTAATCGTGTTTTATGAACTATATCACAAGCAATCACACACACTAATTCCAAAAATGCAACATTAAGTTAATGTGTACATTTTAAGGACCGATTGACTCATCACATAAAGGCTTTATAATTACATAAAAGCGGACTATGATTAGACTTTTTCTTTATATATTCAATTGACATACAAACTGTTAACAGGAAAAACAACAGCAGAACTAATGAAAAGAGGGACCTCCCAGAACCACAACTCCAGTGTCACTCTCACCCTCCCGATCAGAGTAACCAGTTCCTCTATTCCTCCTCAGAACTGAGATCTATTCCACCCGCATTGCGAACAAGTACCTGGCTGATTGTCTGCGTTGGTGAGTCACCTAACCACATACCAGTGGTGACAGATTGCCAGTCTCTAGAGCAGGCAACCTTCAGCACTCCAGATGTTGCAGACTACATCTCCCACAATGCTTTTCCCAAGCATTGACTGTAAGAGCATTATAGGAGATGTAATCCACAACATCTGGTGTGACGAAGGTTGCCTGCCCCTGCTCTAGAGCCATGATCTCCTCATTCCTGCAGTCACACTATAGCCATAAACTTGTCAGTCCCTAAACCTACACCACAATGTCCTCCGGGTCCTCTTTCTCTCCCGCCATCACACATGTCACTACTCATAGCCAAATTGGGAAGAGGCTCCCGTGCAGGCTGTGGTGCAAGGATTTCTCCAATGAGAGTATAGTGGGAGTTGTGGTGTTGAGTTGACTCGGCCCCACAGCAATCGCTGTCCTCTTTTTATCTGTATATAATATATCAATGCCACACTAACGGGAAAGGGAGCAGTTCCGTGATTGGCTGTCGGTTGGAGCTATGTCAGCAACTCAGCTCACACTAACCTCTCACCGATTTGGTATGTACTCACTGTATGTCGAATACAAAAGTCGTTTTAAAACTACCCAACACAAAGCTGGAAAGATTTTTTTATTTTTTAGCTAAACTAGTGATTTGAATTTGGAGAAAATGACACTATGGATATGAGGCCAAAACAAAACAAATACACAAAAACGAATGAACAGAAGGATGGTGCCATGGTACTTCAGATACTAAAACCACTCTAACGACATGAAGCGGTTACAGTGCCTACAGTGTCCCTTTAAATGAACACTCCAAGCACCATAACCACTTGAGTGGACTGTTGTGCATATGGTGCCAGGATTGCTCTGGCATCCCACTCCCATTTGAGTAGTCAAGCCATTTTAGAAGAGTTTGACTTCGTACAGGGAGGGCTGCTCCCCACATCCACTACAGCTTACAGGAGAGCCAATATCTCTCTGTCTGAGCCACGTCCGGCAGTGCAAGGATTAGCTCATTGGCTGAGAGAGATTAGCTGACTCTCTCCGCACTGCAGGACTTCGATAAGGAGAGTTAACAGATGTTCCTGCTTAGGAAACCATTCTACAGTGGGAGGAGGCACTGCAGGCATCATAGGAGTTATGGTGTTTAGAGTGTTCTCTTAAGGATTCCCCAAACCTGAAAACTATTTTAAATACAGTTGCAAGAAAAGGTATGTGAACCCTTTGGAATGATATGGATTTCTGCAGAAATTGGTCATAAAATGTGATCTGATCATCTAAGTCACAACAATAGACAATCACAGTCTGCTTAAACTAATAACACACAAAGAATGAAATGTTGCCATGTTTTTTATTGAACACACCATGTAAACATGCATAGTGCAGGTGGAAAAAGTATGTGAACCCCTAGACTAAAGACATCTCCAAGAGCTAATTGGAGTGAGAAGTCAGCCAACTGGAGTCCAATCAATGAGATGAGATTGGAGGTGTTGGTTACAGCTGCCCTGCCCTATAAAAAACACACACCAGTTCTGGGTTTGCCTCGCACAAAAGAGCTCTCAGAAGACCTACGATTAAGAATTGTTGACTTGCATAAAGCTGGAATGGGTTATAAAAGTATCTCCAAAAGCCTTGCTGTTCATCAGTCCACGGTAAGACAAATTGTCTATAAATGGAGAAAGTTCAGCACTGCTGCTACTCTCCCTAGGAGTGGCCGTCCTGTAAAGATGACTGCAAGAGCACAGCGCAGACTGCTCACTGAGGTGAAGAAGAATCCTAGGGTGTCAGCTAAAGACTTACAAAAGTCACTGGCAAATGCTAACATCCTTGTTAGCGAATCTACAATACGTAAAACACTAAACAAGAATGGATTTCATGGGAGGATACCACAGAGGAAGCCACTGCTGTCCAAATAAAACATTGCTGCACGTTTACAGTTTGCACAAGAGCACCTGGATGTTCCACAGCAGTACTGGCAAAATATTCTGTGGACACATGAAACCAAAGTTGAGTTGTTTGGAAGAAACACACAACACTATGTGTGGCGAAAAAAAGGCACAGCACACCAACATCAAAATCTCATCCCAACTATGAAGTATGGTGGTGGGGGCATCATGGTTTGGGGCTGCTTTGCTGCGTCAGGGCCTGGACGGATTGCTATCATCGAAGGAAATGTTTATCAAGACATTTTGCAGGAGAACTTAAGGCCATCTGTCTACCAGCTGAAGCTCAACAGAAGATGGGTGTTGCAACAGGACAATGACCCAAAGCATAGAAGTAAATCAACAACAGAATGGCTTAAACAGAATAAAATACGCCTTCTGAAGTGGCCCAGTCAGAGTCCTGACCTCAAGAAAGCGATTCACCCCAGACATCCCAAGAATATTGCTGAACTGAAACAGTTCTGTAAAGAGGAATGGTCAAGAATTACTCCTGACCGTTGTGCACATCTGATCTGCAACTACAGGAAACGTTTGGTTGAAGTTATTGCTGCCAAAGGAGGTTCAACCAGTTATTAAATCCAAGGGTTCACATACCTTTTCCACCTGCACTGTGAATGTTTACATGGTGTGTTCAATAAAAACATGGCAACATTTCATTCTTTGTGTGTTATTAGTTTAAGCAGACTGTGATTGTCTATTGTTGTGACTTAGATGATGATCAGATCACATTTTATGACCAATTTGTGCAGAAATCCATATCATTCCAAAGGGTTCACATACTTTTTCTTGCAGCTGTATATGTAATGATCTCAAAAAATCAGTGCATAACAGACAACAAAGAAATGTTTCTTGCTTATATCTCTTCTGGAAGAAGATTGTGAGGAAAAATTCCTAAAACAAAAATCGAAAGACTGTTAATGGACAATAAGATGTGTTTGTCGGATGGAGCTGGTGTATGTAAATACTGACTGACGGTGCACAAACAATTGCACAAGATATACTGTTTTATTTTTTATTTTATTAACTGTGAATTAAAATATTCAGAAACGTGGGAAGTTTTATTTCACTGAAGAGCTGTAACAAAATGTTGTTTGTTAGTGTGCCTAAACCTTTCCATGCAAATATATACAAACATGTCCATACTGTACATACTATGTATTTATTTTTTTAAACAATCGGTGTCTGAACACACATATATAACTACCAGCGCTCCTTTAATACAGAACCAATGTAATAAATGATTTGCACAATGTAACAGACGATGCACATGTCATGTGGCTTTACTGTCATTTTAACAATTTCTGAGTTAAACTCAGCTGTACACCCTCAGCAAATCTATTTACTAAGCGGCTGACAGATCTGCCTACTTGGGTTTTCATCAAACGTTGACAACTAGTTTCTCCTAAATTTAGCTGCTCAGGGAATTTTAGATTTGGTAGTGCATTAAATCACATAGGCCGAGGTTCGGTCTGCACCACCTGTGCCCCTATTTCTGTCTGTTTAGTCTGTGGGAGTGTTTCTAGGTTAGCCCACTATCACAGTAAACATGGCTACTGGCATATTCTGGTTACCTCAGTGATATCTAGAACGACACATACGTTTACGGAAATCTCAATAAACTACACGTCTCGGGGCCCTCTTTAACCGACTAGTGTAAATGTATATATAAATTATGCCAAAGTGGCCTTTCCTAGTACAGCTAGGCTGTCAAGCTGAGTTAGGCCTCAGTGGATGTAAATGAAAACACAAGGCCATAATAAGGTTTTCACCCCAGGCATACCTGAGGAGTTGGCGAGAGGGAGCCAGCATGGGAGTGTGAGAGTCACACAATTTATGTCACTAATGACACTTGCAGTGGTAAAGGGGGCCTGTCAGCCCAGAATCCCTGTACCAACATGACAGGTAGCCATACAATAAGACCAAGCAGGGCTCACCATTTGCAGATCACCGGTAATGTGCTCTCACATGGACACACATGCCCTGGAATAGGACAGCGCAAACATGACTTTTTTGGTCTCAATGTGACTTTTCACTAGTGTCCTCAAAAATGGAACATCTCAGTCAAATATAATCAAAACAAAACCTGACAGAGGTGAAAAATCAGGAATATCCAGCATATTATATCCTATATTTAATAAATTACTTTATATTACTTATCCTTTTTACTATTTCATTTACTGTTCCTGGCATATCCTAAGGTGGGGATCATACCAACTATGCGCTAAATAGAGTGCAGAAAGGACTGCACTCTACTTGTGAGTATATTTTATTTATTTTTAACTCTTTTTGCTAACTACCTCATCAGAGAGCACTATTTGCTGTTTTTCTCTCTTTCTGAGAATTGGACATCGGCACTCCCCAGGAGGACAAGCACCCCCATAAGCGGAGGGTTATCCGCTGTATGCCCATCAAACTAGAGCTAGTCCTAGCTCATGGAAATGTGAGTGCAAAATTTATATTTTAAATTCACTATCACTTATTTATACTATCTGCACGTTTTTTTCCCATTGTGTCTTTCATATCGTGAGACGGACAACTGCTAACAAAGAAGACACCATACCAGTTTGGACAACTTTTAATATTGGAACTCTTTCATATTATTTTAACAAGTTTATACTGGGACTTTCTTTTATTACTTTTTATTATTCTATTTGGCGCAGCCTTTTCCTTGTTTTTTTTTGTATACAATAAGACCAAGCAGGGCTCACCATTTGCAGATCACCGGTAATGTGCTCTCACATGGAAACACATGCCCTGGAATAGGACAGCGCAAACATGACTTTTTTGGTCTCAATGTGACTTTTCACTAGTGTCCTCAAAAATGGAACATCTCAGTCAAATATAATCAAAACAAAACCTGACAGAGGTGAAAAATCAGGACTATCCAGCACATGCAGGACTCTTGGCAGGTATGCATCAGACATGGAAATCAAATTTGACTCATGTCAACTCTACCTTTAATGAACAGACTCCAAAAAGTGTAAATTACCTAACACAACACTGGAAATGAAATGACAACACAGAGAGATTTACGTAAAGGGTTGGTGTTCTACTCCAAGTGACATTTATTTAATATAAAATTTGAATAATAGATATATTCACAATCATTTCATTTATTGTGTGAGAGTAAAGTGAAAAATCGATTTACGTACTGTAAAGTAACTGAAATGTATAAATAAGCACATACAAAAAAGCAGTTATACTAGACAAGATAATGATTTTTATTTTTATTCTACCTCAAGAGGGGAAATGTCACTAGACTATTATCTGTCAGTAAATCTAATGTAAATAACAGCTAAAATGTCAACACAACCATGTATTGTATTAGGTACAAGAGAGATGATTGAGACATAATGACATCACTGGCACTTTGACATATTCCAGCATGGCGCACATCGATGGAATTAAATAAGCGAATTAGAGAGTAAGCAGGAAAGAGGTGTGCACCATGACACGTCATGGTAAAAAAAAAAAAAAAAAAACTGGTTTGGTACAAAAAATTAAATTATTCTATATCCATCTACATGGGGGTAACTGCCCACCACATGTCACACTCACATTTGTACTTGGACTGTTTCCCCTAGAATGGAGCAAAAGCACAGATGCCAAATCAAATGCCAAAAACACATTACTTTATCCAACATTATAATCTTCTAAAATCTTTTGGTTGAAGGACAATGGTGGACAACAGATTATACTATACTCCTTTTATTTTTTTTTAAAAAATGTATTTCAAAGTTCATTACATTTAATGAAACAAATTTATATTTATTTATGCTGTTTATTATTTTTATTATCTATATTATTATTATTTTTTTTAATGCCATTTTAAAAGATATCCCTCAGCAGCCATGTTGGGTCGGACTCTACTGTTATCAGACCAACTGGTACTCAACCTAACCTGACTGCTTTGGTGATTGCTCTGTGTGAGCCTACAGCGCCAGTCGAGTTAGGTTGAGCAGAAGTTGGTCAGATAGCAATAGAATCTGAATAAACATGGCCGTTCAGCCAGATTTTGAAAAGATAAATTTTCTCAAAAAAAAAACCCAACAAAAAACCCAAAACAAATAAATACGCATCATTTAAAAAAACACTTGCTTCATTAAATATAATAAATAGACTTTTAAAAAGCAAGAAGTTAAGACTTGATGACATTTGTCCTTTTTTAGTTTGTTGTTTATAGAAATATAGAATTCATAATAAACATTCACTGTACCCTTCCTTTAAAAATAATATTCTACCACCCACCTTCAGATCATGACCCTATGTTCCATGTCAGCTTCTTTATATTTTATGGGCTAGACAAATCAATCATTTAAGGTAATACATTAAAGCCAGGATTTGCAGGCAGGCAGATCGAGCATCAAAGAGGCAACATCTGATGTACGGACTTCCAGTTGCATTATATAAAGTAAAAATAAATAGTGCAGAATGTCGACAAATGGACAAGATTAAAATCTGTTAATAGGTAAAACACTCACCTATTTATGAGCAAAGAAACTTTACTTGTGTAAATCTACAAATCCAAATGCCAATACTAAAACGACTCATTTTTCTTCCACTATCACAAAAATAACATATCCTATCAAAGATTTTATTGGATGTAACACCAAAAATGTGATATATTTATTAGAATGTCCATGTGGTTTTCAATACATTGGCATGACAACAAGATGTTTAAAAATTAGATTGGCAGAACACTGTCGCAACATTAAAAAAGGTTACGACAATCATTCAGTGTCCAAACACTTTTTAACCCATAATAAAGACCCCAGTTTTCTTAAAGTTACTGGAATAGAAAAGGTTGCCATGCCCTGGAGAGGAGGAGATATGAAAAATATTTTGGGAAAGAGAGAAATGAATTGGGTTTTTCAACTCAAAACCCTGTCTACCCAAGGGCTAAATGCAGAATTTGATCTTTTTAACTTTTTATAAAAAATATTTTTTATAGATTTTTTCCACTTTCCAATTTTTTACAATTCATTTGAATATAATTATTCATTTAATTTTTTTTTCCTTTATCTTTTAACTTCACTTCCATTTTTTTTAATCTATTTTCTTTATTATTTATATCTATTCTTATTTTTATTTTAATCTCTATTTATTCCTTCCTCGTTATTACTATTTCTGATTTTTAAAGGAGATTATCCTAGTCTGTATGTGTCAGTTTAATAAAAAAAATGTTTTTCTCTCCTACTCCTCCCATTGGCAATACCGGTGGGTGGCCACCAGGTGGGGCGCCCTTATTCTGTCAGGCGCCCTGCATGGTGGTCCCACCTTCCGGCAGACACTAATGTTATCTCCCCAGGGTCGTCTTCTTTCTCTTTCCCCTTATTATGTAATGGCCATTCAGTCCATTGATGTCTAGGGCTTTCAAGTGCCCTCCCACTAGTATGCCGACGTTGAGAGATGGGCGTGTACAATCGCGCCGGTCTCTCAGCCCCGGCATATATTTCCCATAATCCTCAGATATCATATCACGTGATCGCGGGAGGTCGCGATCACGTGTTCTGTCAAACCTACAATATCACTAATTATACTATCAATTATAAACGCTCATTTTTTATTTTAAAACTCACAGACACCTTTGGACTGTCCTTACAAATGTTTTAATACCTTAAATTTCAACTTTTATTAACTTTGAAAATCGTGCATATTTTATCAGTGACGTCATTTTGGTGCCTAAATTCGAATCCACATCTGTTTCTTTTAGCTTATAAAAGCATCTACTGTACCAGGTTTTTCTCTCTTTTAATGCCATTTGATAAAGCCCTGTGTGGTGAAACGCGTTTTGGCTGTTTATACACTGATTTTTATATTGATATATTATACTACAAATAAAGGAATATTGGTTTCTTTTTGCCTATATATACACCTTTTACTATTTTATTTCATTTATTTTCTTGTTTTTAAATCTCCTGGTCACCGATTCATATTGGAGCACGTTACTACTCAAGAATCCTAGGTGGGGATAGTACCACCTGTGCCATCAAATTGAGCAGTAGATCCTGCTCATATATATGTGAGTATTTTACCATTTTAATTTGCCTTTTAATTTATTCAGTGAGCACTATATACGTCTCTTATCTCTTTACATACCGAGGAATTTTTAAGGATTTCATCACCTATATCCGACCAGTGGGGGATAGACGCCACTGAATGCTAAGAACACATGAGCAAGTTTCTTTGCTCATAAATAGGTGAGTGTTTTACCTATTAACAGATTTCAATCTTGTCCATTTGTCGACATTCTGCACTATTGGAGTTTCTCTTGTCTTTTTCATTTTCCCATACATCAACAAGCGAACCAAGATATCTCCAAAATAAGAAGTTTCAGACACTCATTGGACTCTATATACACTCAAGAACTCTACAGGTTGATTTATTATTTGGGACTTTTTACTATTTATTTATATATATATTTTTTTATATTATCCCTTTGTTTCCATAGCGCGACCTAGATACCAATTTTTGTCTATTTCCTTATCTGTGAGGCTTTCTGAGGGAGCCTCATACTTATAGGTTGCTGCTTCCTCACTTGTTTTAGTTTCTATTAGATTATTTAGCGCTGAACCGTTTACCTATTTGTTCGATATATATATATATATATATATACTTACATTGCTGTAACTTTGTTATTAATATATAAATATAAGCGATAACAGCTTATAAGGTGATCTATAGGTCTCCCTTAACTGGCTAATCTTATTTTATTATGAAAGTCAACAGAGCTGCCAAGCAATATAAAAATAAATGTAGGGGGCGGGGCTAGCACGCAGACCGAGACAGACGCCATTTGCTGGAGCTCCTCCAAACAAACCTGAAATCTGCCCGATATCAATGGAACACGAGCCCATCCAGCCTCAAAAAGCACAAAATTGGACTCTGCTGCCCGAGCTGAAAGCGTAGATGCCCTTCTTACAGCCGCAAAAACAGCCTAAGCGGCGACGGAAAACCGAGGCCTATCACCCTCTCCAAATCCCCAGCCTCGCTTCACTCTTCGGCGGAGACCTCGCGGAACGGCCGAGGGCGACCCCATCACAAACAATCGCCCAACACACTCACCATGGGTCGTAAATCACAGAGACCCGCCACAGGGTCGGATACCAGGGACATTGGGGCCCAAGCCCAAACAAACTCAGGCCGGAGACCAACCGGAAACAGAACCAGAACCGGACCACCACGAGATGGAATTACCACAATACCCCCTGGTGGTAAGACCCGCACAAGCGGACCCTATGGATGAATCAGCCCCAACAACTAGGGGATACCTGAAGGTCCTATTAGCTGATATCCACAAGCTCCTGGCTGCAAATTTAGCTGTATTTACAACACAGCTACAGGCCGTAACAGAGAGAGTCAAGGCCACAGAGGGGGTTATAGCAGACACACAATCTGCCATGCAAACCATGCAGGACTCTATCCACCAATTACAAGCGCACCAGACTACCCTGAACGCAAAACTCATAATACTAGAGGATAGACAACGCCGCGCAAACATCAAAATAAGGGGTATCCCTACGGCAATATCCGCGGAGGAACTTCCCCACTACACCGACGCCTCTTGACATCTATATTACCTCCCACGCTAGCCTGCAAAATCACAGTGGACAGTCTATATCGCATCCCTAATACAACCAACACTAATACCAACCTGAACTGGGATGTCATCCTGCGCTTCCACTCAGTACAAGACAAAATACATGTCATGACAGCTGTGAAGGGCAAAACCCCTCTTTCATTTGAAAATGACACCTTGAACTTCTTCCAAGACCTTACTAAGGCAACGTTGCTATGGAGGAAAACCTACGCACCGGTAACTTCCCAACTACGCACGACAGGACTGCCATACAGATGGGGAACCGACAACTCTTTAACGGTTACCACAGAAGGAACTACGCATGTCCTCCACACCATGGCCGACGCAGCCTCTTTTCTGGGAAAATTAGGACTACCCATTCCAACCGATAATCGTGCGCTTCCTGAGAGTGCCAGAGACCCGGTTACCATCATCCCCTTTGTCCCACGCACCAGAGGGACACCACCACCCGTACAGTGACAGCCCACACCGACACCTATGGCTAAACAATCTAGCCCACATTAGTAGGCTCTGGCCTCGAGCCACCTGGAGAGGACATTGATACACGAGAGAAACCTCGTACTCGGACGCAATGCAGTTACTAGAATTATCTATTACCTTTACAGTTACTATAATTTACTTTTTTTTTTTTTTATCTATGCTTTCACACCCCTATCCTGACTACGAGCAAACCACACCCCAGCCAACACACTGGACACAACACAAGAGAGTCAATGGGGCCACATCCCTCCTCCCCCCCACCCCCCGCAACCCCCTTGGTTAGGGGTACCACGCATATCAGCTACCGCTGAAACAGCCCACACTGACAAACCACAACCCAAACTGGGAACCAACACCATTACATAAGCTGACACATGTTACCTACTCAAACTCCATGAATCACACACACACACAACAATGTTTCTCTTTGTTTCAAGACTCCTATATATTTGTCTACAGAATGTCTAACATGTTAACCTTGTATACAATTGTTAAACGTTGAAGAAAAGAAAAAAAAATGTGCATACTGCTAGACATACCTAAGCTATATCGGACATGCATAATTTACGAATGTCTTTTGTCCTCTTGATATCTCTCATGCACATCCAAAATAAAGAATTTAAAAAAATAAATAAAAAAAAATAAAAAATTTAATATATTTATGAGTTTGACTAGTAAGGTAGATGGGTTTCACAGAAAGATTGACCTGACCCTGAGGAAAAGTGATGGGGATATACAGAGGACTTAACGCTACAGTATGAATCTCATCAGTTCTATAGTATATCTTGTGTACACACTGAGAAGGTTTATTTGAGGTGTTAGACAGATGCTTGTTGGATTTTGAAGCCAGACGGTGCACCTCATAACATTTGAAGGCTTCAATCGGGATGTGGGCTCATGGCTAAAGCAGAACACAAGTTGCCAGCCCCTCAGACATACTTTGAGTAATAAATAAACTCTAAACCATTCACATTCACAGTGTGGTGGAAGAGTAGTCATTGGATGTCACAGAAGGTATTGGGCTATACGAAATGCACATGGGTTTTAACAGGTTTAAGATTTTCTTGTGCACAAGATACCTATGGATATTCTAGAAATAACCTGGTATTACAGCCAACTGGACATGGGATAGTTAGCAGGTATGAGGCATAGAGAAAGAGATATATGTTTCTAAATAGAAATGGACATAAAGCACTAAAACTAAATAAAAGCCAGCAGCCACTAATTGTTCTTAATAATGCAACTTACTGTGAACAATTCCATATGTATTTAGTTAAAAGAGGATTCCGGGGGGTGGGGCGTAGCTGCCTAGATGGCCAGTCGCACTTTTCTGTAGCTCAGGCGGGCTGTCAACAACATCCAGCTTAATCCAAGTACCTACCACAGCTACTCCCCTCACATGACTGAGGGTTTACTGCAGATAAGCCTGACGACATTGTGTGAGAACTGGATTACGTCTGTGTGAAGGGTATTATCACCTGGGCAACTGAGGCCTAGCCCTACTAGCAACCCCAACTAGCTTCCCCGACGGACGGGAGAAACAGCCAATCTCCTGGCCTCAAGAGAACCGATTTCTGCAACCTGGCTGGGTCCCGTTGTCCCTATCCCCCTGGACCAGTGGGGTAAAAAAAAAAAAAAAAAACAGGATTCCTTGTGAATTCATTATCCCATGCATTCTATTAAAATTGTACATATATATTTTTTTTCATTATTGAATGTTATTTCTTAAAAATTGCATGGAAAATTCACCCCTCCCCTCCCCCTGAGAGGTCACTTACACTATAAGCTTCTCTTTTTATTTGCTTTAAAACAAAAATGACCCTTTTTTTAGAACAATCAGTATTTCAGAATATGCACATAATTGTCATCGGAACCAACTGACGTCACATCTGAATTGGCTGCGTTACATCAGCTCATTAGTCCCTTTGTTTGCACTGTAAATTAACAAAGATTTTCGCAAATCAATACATTTCTCACCAACCATATTGTACCTCTTTTACACAGCCCTCCCATCACGCACTTTAAATAATTACAAATACGTAACACTTACACAGACACATGAGACATGTCATTAACACTTAGGTACAAGTCAGTGTGTTAACGGATTTATTAAAATATTTTTATTTATTTTTTTGACGTGAGAAACAAACATTTTAACATGACTAACATAGAACATCACACTTTCTACTGGTCAGTAATGGGTTAATGGTACGACCTCTTACAGCTGGCTGATAGGAAAGAACTTAGCATGTCATATGCACGTATTTTATATCATATATTTAAGCAATATCCCTTTGGTATCAACATGACATGATTTGGAATGAATCCCCACGGGGAATATTTAAGAAACAGAAAAGTAGGCGAAGTTCTAAAATTGGAGAAATCTCCATAGAAACCAATGGAAATTCTTCTGATGATTCTGTTGGTTTCCACGGAGATGGCTTCTCTTTTAGAACCTTGGCCCACTTTTCAGCTAGTGGCATTTTTAGAAATTTTCCCACTGGACCTAACTAAACCCCAAAGTTGCCTTGAGTACAGCCTTTAAGTGATAATCTCAATATAAAATCACAAAATTACCATCGTAAATGCCCACTCAGGAGACCAAGGATACAATTCAGAAAGACTCCACAATTTGGCTATAACCTTGGGCAGGTATGATCCCATAAAACCCAACGCTAACTCTATTTTTAGAGTTGAGTGCAACAGAACAAAGCAGGTCCAAAGAAGGATCCGATGCAGCAAGGATTACATATGGTGTCATGGTGACTTCAGCTACAGAGGTCGTCAGCATTGAATTTCTTAGAAACACAATATTGATGAAATATGACATCTCCAATTTGTAGTTCAAATAGATCGGCCCAAGTTGAGCCAAAAAAAAAACACCTGATTGTAGCTATACATTCAAACTCAGAGCCTAGCAAACAGGGCTGAATGCAATATCTACCAAAAATACCTATGTTAGCAGGCTATCAGTGCGGTCGCCAGAACTTCACACCAATAAATACAGTGCTTTTTTTCTAAACAGTCTTTATTTTAAAATATCATGGTAATAAAAATAGTGATTTGAATTTTTTAAATTCCTACAGTCGAGGCTCACAATATATTCTATGTATTATGTAATTACTTCTCTCTATAATTATAGCTACTTTAGCACATTATGTACACCTATTAAACACTGCACACACACAATCTAGGGTAATAGCCAGGATAATTAAACAAATAAATCAACTGAAAATATTAGATATAATTTAACATGTACTGCAATCCAGCTACAAAGGGATACAATTTCCTCCTGCACATGGGATATCTAGACTCAGAAATAGGCAACATTTGCCAATCTAGCTGCTGTGGACTACGTCCCCCATGATGCACCATGACACTAAACTTTCCCTATTCCCCATCTAGAGGAACTGATGTTTGAAAAGCAAGTAAAAATGAATAATTCAGACTCTTTGTGTGCATTAAATAATAAATACTACATAGGCAAAGGTCATTATGACAGGAAGGGAGAGATCACGTGTCTATCATAACTCCTATACCGTACAATTTAGGGGACTCAGCTTGTACTATGGTGAGATATAACTGGGGACATTAGGTGATAATTATGTTCAATAAGATCAAAACAATATTTTTGGAAGCCCAGTTCTGAGTTACACAAAGAGTCATAACACTCCGATTTCCATAGAAGAGATTATGTAAAAAACTGAACGGAACCAGAACACGGTCAAAAAGCCCAAAGTTTGTGACGTTGCTCCCTGTAGCAGTATGGCAACTGACAATGTTTTAACGATGTTACGATTGACCGCAACACTATAATAAATAACATACAGAAACATACCCACATGATATATAATAGCTTATTCTTCCATAAAACAATGATAGACTATTCAACTGTAAACATAGTGAATCTAAAAGCCATTTATTGGGCTTATTATATAAATATAATATTATATATAAAACTTTCATGATATTTATCAGTGTACACACATACAAACAGAACTGACCTTAATAAAAGGAAGATTCTCAGGTTACCTAAATTTATCTGTATCAGTGTTTGAAATTCAATATATAGGCTAACAGAAGCTACAGGTAAAAACATCAGAGAAGCATGGAGCATATCAACTTACGACATATTAAAACACTCATGCAGACGTTTCACTCGCGAGAGAGAAATAAAGACACCGGAAAAGCAAGTATTTTAAAATAAAAAATAAAAGCCTAAATAAAGCAGTCGGACAAGGAGGCCTCCTGGTCTTGGTAAGGTTTCCGTGCTCAGATGTATCTGTCGGATTCCCTGCCTCTGTGTGGATGGTTTAAAGTGCAAACAATAGCAGTGACGATGTACAACATAAGTCTGGTGCGCACATACAGTTGTCTGACACATACTTGGTGAATTAATGTCCAAAACACATTCCGGTTTACCCATCCTGATTGATGGCGCATGTGACAACAAATACATTTCTCCTCTATGAATTACATTTACATATACAGCGTTAATTTTGATAGGCTAATAGCCTAGAAAAAAAATATTCTTTTCTACAACACTTCAAAAACAAATCTACAAATGCAAGTTCAAATATTGATTTATTTTTTTATGCATTACCACAGCGACTCTGAAATCATGAGTCAGCTACAGCGTGTCTAGATCCATCATGTTAAACTGAACATGTATCCCCTCTTCATGGTGATGGATGCCCTTCATAATATTGCATTCATACACTGCAGCATTCAGCACAATAAATATATATCTTGCATACAGCATTAAAGGGACCCCTCCAGACCCCTAAAGCACTTTAGATTTCTGAAAAGCTTTATGTGTGAAGAGTGTGTCCTATTTTTTCCATTTTGGAAAAAGTGCAGCTTTCAATAAAAATTGACACTTTTATAAATTATACTGGTTGCACACACTGGCTTTTCAAGCAGACAACTGGTCCTGTTACTTCCTGGTTTGATTAGCTTAGTTGCACTGAACTCAAGAGGCAGCCAATTGCCCAGAGCACCCGCCTTGCAAAGACTTCCCATTGAGCTGTATTGGGAAGTCTGTGATTGGACAGCCGTCGAACGTCTGGGCTGGATTAGAAGACAAGGGCTTGCAAAACTCAGCAGAAAAGAGATCTGCAGTTTTTTCGAACTGTTTTTAGATATAACTCGAATGAAAAATTTCATATTTAAATGCGTGCAAGTTTTCACTTTGAATTTGGGAAGTTGAGTTTCCCTTTAAGGTTCTGCTATTTGCAGGGCAGGTCTTTCCATGTGTTGCCCAGCAATATGTATGATTGATGTGCCCGGGAAAATAAAATAGATCAGACAACACTTGACCAGCACCCACATTTTGGTCTTTGATAAACACACTGTACTTGATCCAACCAATGGAAACAAAACACAAGGTTTACTATGGTGGCACTGGTCATAAAGTAAATTTACAGAGCAGGATTCATCATTTCAATGAAGTTGTTATGGTGCATGGAGTGTTCCTTTAAGCTAAAGTTATTTTGGTAACAGTAGTGTCCCTTCAAGCTCTTTTATTATTGCTACAGCGAACTCTTCTGGAGTGTCCTTTATTTTCTGAATTGTTATAGAATTATTTCATGTGATAAAAAAAAAAATAGGTTTGTTATCTTGTTCCATACTTGAAATAACTTCAAGTCTACCAGCCAATCTGCTATGGGTGACTGCACAAATGGGCTCTGCAACCCTGTGTTTATAAGCTGCGGATGTCTCGAAGGTACATCTAATGTGAAATATGTGTCAGGATTCAGAACAATTATCTGTCCGCATCCCCCTCCTCCAGTACCACATCTGCCAGCACTAACTCATAAGCTGTTTATATAGAATGGAAGGGACAATCATGCATTGTAAGAACTATGCAATATTTCCACTGTAACAATATCTCACTTTCACAAGAAGTAATTACGTTTATCTCATCAGTAAACCTCACCTGCAGATAGTGCACCCAAACAGGTTTCCTATATAATTACATGGAAACACTAACCCGTAATGCATAGCTACGACAATAGTTCAGGATTGCTTTTGTATATATCCACCATCATATTGTTTATTGGCGAACTGACTGAACGCAACAAGATTATCATCAAACTGCTAAATGACAAGTTATTAAAATCTGAAAAAATATCTATATCTATAGATAGAGATTTGTATAGATATATAACTATATATACAAATACATATATATATTATTTTGAGAACATTCATTATAAAGGACATTTAACAGCAGCAATTGAAGGAACACTATAGTCAGAACTACTATTGCTTAATGTAGTGGTTCTGGTGCCTGTAGCCTGTCCCTGCAGGCTTTGCAGAGAAAAGGCAGTGTTTAAATTGTTTCCTAGTAACCCCCGCTGTCACTGATACTGCCACTAAAGGCCCTCACATATTTCCTTTCTGCATTTTTGCAGGATCTACCGTCAATGCCTCTACACTTTGCATGGAGACATTGAATGCTCTCCCTAGAGATGCATTGAATCAAGGCATCTTTATGAGCTGCACTTGATTGATGGATCACGGCTTGCAGTGCATGCGCCATAGTCCAACTTTTCTCAATGAGAAGAGCTTTGTTTGATAAAGAAAAACATTACTATGATAAGCTAGAAGGCATTTTGGGCGGAGGTTCTCATCGCTGGATTAGACGTAATTTTAATATAAATTGAGGTCTGATCAAGGCCCAAAGGGTTGGGGGCATGTATCTAAAAAAAGAGGTTAACACAAGTAGGATGCAAATAAAAGTATAAACGTCTGACTAATGTTATGAATCCAGTGATAATTCAATTAACACATAGAAAAACATAACACTTATACAGGACTTTTAAACCAACTCAGCTGCATAACTGCCAAACTTGCAATATTAAAAGGTACTAATTAAAAATAAGCACATGGTATAACAATCCATTAACCCCAAGCGTATTTCAGCTTTTAATTAAGACGCGATCAACTCACACTGGGTCTGTAATAGTTGTTTACTCTACATGTATGAGATGTTTAATAAGATATATTTATATGTAACTACATATTTGTTTTTACAAATAGCTTTAGGTTCTATAGTAACCAGACATTCAAACTTCTATGAAATCTTACATGCTCTGGAATAGCACCAATCAATTGAGAATATTAAAAGGTTCACTAATAGCACATGTTCTAAATGCGGATCAATAACCGTGGCAACCACTGGAATCAGCAGGGTGGTTTTTTTTGCCTTTTTAATGCTAAGTTAATTAATGTAGAGCAGGGGTGATTAGCAGGTTCCTCGTAGCTGCCATGAACTATACTTTCCACGGAGCTTGGCCAGGCTATGCAGAGAACTCCGGACTCAAATACATTTCCTTTCCTTGTTCTTCTGAAAAACCATTAATGCAATTGTAAACACTAAGTTCTGATGTTCCACAAACACATATAAACATAGTGGGACGTGTAGGTCCACAACCAGAAAGCAACATGTTGAGGGTATGGATGGATGGTCCACCTCTAAAGAGTATAGAACTACATATGATTAGCATTCATTTCTATTTCTTTAAGATTTCGTTACAATAAATAGATGGACCGTGGCCCGAATTAAAGAAGTGGACTTTCCCATGACTAAAGCCAAAAATATGGGAAATAACATTAGGATGTTGTATCCCTTGAGAAACAATATCCATTAAAGTCTCAGCATTAGGTTTCTTCTCAAGCAAGATAATGAAACTCATATATTTCAGTAACGGAACAACAGATTGAAGGTACAATTGCTACTGTGAGATGAAAAGGTATCCTACAGGGTCAAGGTAAACATTTCATCAGGTTATACAATCCCTTGGAATGAAATGTGTTAATGTGATATTTTAATCTGAGTGTCTCTAACAGCAATTATAGACAAGAAAAGGGAGCAAACAAGGCCAGATGAAGGAATTTGATGGTGAACGTGGAACATTCTAAGCCTGGCTCATTCATGCGGACGTGCAGTTTCATATCTCGCTCTTGGTGACGATGAAGCAAGCAGAAGGGCGAGGGAATAGATCAGCTGTCACTGCTTCTTGTAATGCTAGACAGTGTCAAGAGACTGAGAGAGATGAAAATCCCACGGCTGCCAATGTGGTGCTCTATGTAATCTGGGTAGCTACACATCAATGATAAAGCAACAACTATATTGAAAAGAGATTCCCGTAACTAATGAGCAAAGAATGTGTCCTTGATCTGAAGCCACAAAGAAATCTATCACGAGAAACAGTATGTAACCCAATCTGTGGCTAATACAAGGGGAAAACCACTAATAAAAGGTTACTTAATTTCCAACAAGGTAATGTTATTCAGGGGTCCACAACCTCAATGATCTGGACATCTTAATCCACAGTGAGCAGTCCCACTTAACGGGTCATCTCATTGAAATGTAAGCAGTCTCATCAGGCCATCTTATTCAAGCATGAGCAGTCTAATTTATTGGCCATCTCGTTGACATGTAAGCAGTTCCACTCATCAAGGCGTCTCATTCAAACGTGAGCAGTCACTTACCAAGCCATCTCATTAAACCATGTGCGGTCTCCCTAACAGAGCCATTTTAATAAACATGGACCAGTCTCAAATGCCCAGCTATTTCATTCAAGCAGAAGAGGTCTCACTTACCAGGCCATCTCATTCTATGGTCAGAAGCCTCACGTACTAGGCCATCTTATTCATGTACAAAAAGCCTCACTTACCGGGCCATCTCATTGAAGTGTAAGCAATCACTCACTACACCATCTCATTCAATGGTGAGTTGTGTCAATTAGAAAAAAGGAGGTAACATTCAGTTGAAAACAATTTCACATTAAGCTAGGACATCTCATTCAATTGCACTCTTGATTACAAGAAGACAATCTCATTAAATAGACAGCAGTCTTGTTTATAAGAGGACAATATTATTGAACATTAAAAAAAGCACTCTCCTTTACTAAAAAGCAATCTCGTCAGAGAGCAGTCTGCATTGCTAGAAGGCAAATCTCGTGGAATAAAGAGCTTTCTCTAATCATATCCCAAGAAAGCAGTCTTTCACTCACATCAGTCTCATTCTTTAGCAAGCAGTCTAATGCCTAAGAAGGCAATTTTTCATTTACTAGCACATTTTCCAAGGGTCCCGCTATAAGAGGAGCAATAAAACTAACAATATGCATTAAATAGATAATAAATATCTTTATAAGTTGCTTTACATAAATAAAATACTTTGTTCTTCTTCTAAATAGACATTCTTCTTCTAAATAGATTTTACTATTATATAAATAGATCTTAATAAGTATATTCCCCTAAATATTCTGAGCCATTCCCAGACCCTCCCCTAAACCACCAATGTCCCTCTTTGGCCATCTGAAATGTTGGGAAGCGTGCAACACGTTTTCTAGCAGAAGAGATTTCTCACTAGAAATTGTTTATTTTTGGGAAAATATCTGGCTACAATATATGTGTATCCAATGCCACTGCCGCTTGCTAACGTGCAGACCATTTATTTAATGAAAGGGAAATCAAAAACGTATGAATTCACGCTTTCTCGAGAGTGGGCAGTCACTCATTACAAGCCAATTGACATGATCAGAAAGCATTCACACGTCCTGTAGCAGACACAGAACAGAAAGGAGGGGCGAATTAATGTCTTTTGGTTTTGATCAAAGCAAACCCTAGGCCTCACTGAGAAGGCTTACCTTGTGACTCGAGATTTTTGAAAGCCACATTACCTGTGATGCTTAACAAGACCAGCCAAGCATCACATAAAATTACTTTGCAAATGTTGAGGGGACACAATTAGCCACCTCTGCCTTAAGACTGGCACCTATCAATTTTTTTACATTTATTTCTTTACTGGCCTTTAAAAAGCGCCAACATATTCCGTAGCGCTGATTCATGCATAGTACCTGTCACCAGGAAAACTTTTGTTTTAGAAAGTTAAAAGGTGACATCATCATTCCCAATGACAATCAAATCTACACACTCAAAGATCAAACTCTCTAAGGAAGCTATTTTTGTCACACACAGCGGTAATCTTTAACTAAAAGCTAATCCTATTTACTAGACAACCTAATGCAATTCTTTCTTTCTTTATTTTTTTAACACATCTCAGCCTGGTATTTTTTATTGAGAAAACAAAAACACACACTAATTTATACCAAAAACCTAATGTTTTTACCGGCTGACCTTTAACGCAGATATTGGACCACATTTAAAAATCCTCAATAATTACAGAAGTTCAACAACATTTGGAGGAACGAGGCACTCTTAGCTATCTGAGCATCTGTCACTAGGTACCAAGTATGTTTTTTTGATTGGCACAACTCAAAGAAAGTCACTATAACATCACTATATATTGTAAATGTTATATGAACCTTAAGTGGTTAAACCTGATAAATGTTTTGACAAAGTAAATATATCTGTTAGAAGTGGAAGCCCAAGTTGATAAAAAGCTACACCATTTAAAAAAAAAAAAAAAGGAAATTGTGAAAAAGTCTCTTCTGTGTTTTGCAACGTGCAGAAGAGGAACAATACATTATTCAACACTGACCTGCTTAACAAACACCCCTGCATTTACTGGAAATTAAACTACACCGCCATACAAAAAAAAAAAATTGAATTAAATATTGAAATGTGATTAAGGTTTTTTTTTTGTTAATCATTTCAAGACTGGAATTCCCTGGATATTGTGAGACTTTTCAACTGGCAATGGTCTTGAAGGGTTAACCAATCACAAAAAGACAATCAAAGTAATCAGATAAAAAAGAAACAGCTTTCAGTGGTGGATCCACAGTGTGGAAACCCAAGGGGTCTCAGATTGAATTGAAAGTACTTAGAATTCTCAATGGAATCTTGAGATTCTGAGATTTAACTACTGAAATGTCCACCCCTTGGGCATACATGATGTTAAGGTCACAGGGATTTCTTATGTTAAGCCACAATGAAGCCACTCACTATCAGACGGTCTAACAAGACTTAAATCTAATCTGCAAAGGATATTGTCAAAGTTTTTGATCTCTGATCGTAAACGATAAAATGGACTAGAAACATTTAAATACACCTGTACCGATCCCAGCTGGAACATTATACAAAAAACAATCAGAAAAACAAACATGTATTAACTAAAAAATTATCTGTAATTAAAATGTGAAACATGCAATGTGCAGGTGCACTCGCAACAACCATTAAGGGATATTTACTAAAGAGATAATTTAAAGTTAAATTCATATTTAAGAGCAAAATAGCCAAAGTGGAAAAATTCATCTCTGCTTTCAGCTTGGCTACTCTGCCCTTAAATTTGAAATTCTCTTAAGTAAATAACCCTGCAGATACCCATATAACTAGCTCCGTGAATAATTTTTGAAATGCATAGGTAAAGGCTTATTACAGTGGGTGAACTGTAGATCTGAGGATTTGTAAGACCACCGGTTTGACAACACAGATGCAGATAAAAGACAGTGTTCTTGGGTTGATATAAAAAAAAATAATGTTCCTTAGTAAGGATGTCAACCTCATCTTCAGAAGGAAGTGTTGTGAGAGACCCAAGGAGACATAAGAGGTGGTCACTGGTCTCTGGAAGAAATCTTGCTAATTCAAACCTATAAACCATCTTTAAATGCAATAAGTTACTTTCCAAAGCAAATTCTAATTAACCCTTTTTATCTGAGTGACACTGCACTGGCATTCAATGGCTTGATCACCATCAAATGTTAGTCCCCATGATATCGTGTGATGAAAACGTCCCTGACATTCTACAAAAATCCTCAAAAATATCACTTCTCAGTCCATATAGATTGTAGATGTTCTCAGATTGTAACCGGTCATATTAGATCGTATCCCTTGCTATTCTCCAACCAGTGACTTACTATATGTATTCTTGGAATAAAACCACTAGACCACTAGACCTGCCTCTTTGGTGAGAGACCTAACTTGAACATGTTGACTTGTGGACCAACCATAGAGCTTAGTAAGTGAAGAAAGATGTCCTCTGGTGTCTTCCTCCCACCCCACCTTAGATAAAGTGAATCCATGCACTATCAAATTCTTTGGGTGGAGAGACAGTGGTTCTTTGACTCTTGACTTTGTAGTTGTTGCCATCATTGTTGTCCCAATATTCAGCACCGCAAACCCTGTACCTGATGGCAAACTCCAGCATCCCTTCCTTGGTCAACAGTGATGGACACAGCAACTTAAAGGAGAACTTGTCTGTGTACCTATCACTACAACCCCTCTGGAAAGCCGCCTGGATCTCAGTGGACGTCTTCCAAGCGTCCACTGTGTACCTGACCACCACGTCCTTCTCATAGGACAAGTTGAGGACCCTGAGGTCTCCATTCATGCTGAAGGGGTCAGTTTGAAGGCTCTCCAGGCACACCCTGCGCTGCTTCACCAAGTCTAAAAAGTCAGGCTTCCTGCCAGGGTTGGAGAACTGCGGTTCCAGGTACAGTGAATTGGGGGCGGGGCGTAGAAACAAGGCACTAAGCTCCACCCCTGCGGGGCAGGATTCCTTGCAGCGCAGCCCTGCCAGCACGTGGTTGGGGACGCGGGGCACATCCGCGTCGCAGTAATGCCGGACAGAGGTCAGTTCCAGGCCCAGGGAGTCTGCAAAACGAACCACTTTCTTTCTGGGGACCAACACCTCCAGGTGCCTCCGCTCCGCGGGGGTGGGAAGGGACTTGGCTCTCCTGCGGGCTGAGGGGCTCTGGGGGGCAGAGGTGACCTCCCTTCCCCTGGTCATCGGCTTGCTCTCCTCTTTGCTTTTCTCGGCTGGTTCCTCTTCTTCATCCTCCTCCTCGTCCTCCGGGGTCCCCGGGTCCTCCCCATAGAGCACGGCGGTGCAGCTGAAGTTGCGGGGCAGGAGGTGGCGGTGAGTGGGCATGGTGTCCATGCACAGCCGGCAGCTGAGTGCGCTGGGAGCCGGCTCACTGGGGCATGAGCGGCTGTGAGAGTGAGTGTGAGTGGGGGAGAGCTGCTGGGGCTGACGTGTAGTGACGCATTTCACATCATTGTAGGAACCACAAGCTGCACTGGAGGAAGAAGAGGAGGAGGAGGAGGCAGCGAGCATCATCACAGGCAGCAACAGAACCCTTTCTATGCCAGGAGCGCTGCAGCAGAGCACTGCATCCCTTACAGCAAGCGGGTCAGGTCTGGGAGATGGAGAGGAGGTTTGCTGCTAGCTGGACAGGTCCATGCTGCGGGATTATGAGAGCAGGTCTGGTTCATGCAGTGGGTCAAATCTGGGTGATGGGATTTGTGCTGCTAGCTGTCAAGGTCCATGTTGTATGTCAACTTGGATGATGGGAGTTGTGCTGCTAGCTGTCCAGGTCCATGCAGTGTGTTAAGCCAGCGTGATGGGAGTTGTGCTGCTAGCTGTCCAGGTCCATGCAGTGTGTTAAGCCGGCGTGATGGGAGTTGTGTTGCTTGCTGTTCAGGTCAATGCAGTGTGTTAAGCCAGCGTGATGGGAGTTGTGTTGCTAGCTGTACATGTCTACGCAGTGGGTAAAGCCTGCGTGATGGGATTTGTGTTGCTAGCTGCCTGGTTCTATGCAGTGTGATGAGAGTTGTACTGCTAGCTGTCCAGGTCCATGCAGTGTGTTAAGCCAGGGTGATGGGAGCTGGGGTGCATGGAGTTCCCAAGGCTGGAGGCAGGCTGGAGGCTGACTGCCCTGTGATGCAGCACAGTCATTGTAGTAGTGGAGCTGTGCTGCCCCCTCTCTCCTAAATCAGCACCGTGGGAATCCTATAGGCTGCTCACAGAAGGCAGTGCCCGGTGTGCTCAGGATTAACCCATGCACTGGCAGAGAGATGGGCAGACAAATTCACTGTTCACCTGCCTCTCCCTCTCTCAGGCAGGCCATGGGTTAAACATGGCACAGTGACAAATGTCCTCCTCAGGCTGTGCTCTGCATATCTCATTCTAACACACCCTGCAAGATGCCACCGCAACAAGGTATTACTAACATATCACTTAATACAAATATAACTCTATAGCTATCCACTTCCATACTAACAAACACATTATAACCAATACAAATGCAGGGTCAATGTCAATATAAGTAGCATGTTAGCTTTTTTATGGTTTTACCAGCATTACATTTGTTATGATGGTTAATGTCAACATAGAACTTTAAATACCAGCTTTCTGACATCACAGCAATGAATATGTAATACATGTAATGTAATGTAATGTACAGTTTCAAGAAAAAGTATGTGAACCCTTTGGAATGATATGGATTTCTGCACAAATTGGTCATAAAATGTGATCTGATCATCATCTAAGTCACAACAATAGACAATCACAGTCTGCTTAAACTAATAACACACAAAGAATGAAATGTTGCCATGTTTTTATTGAACACACCATGTAAACATTCACAGTGCAGGTGGAAAAAGTATGTGAACCCTTGGATTTAATAACTGGTTGAACCTCCTTTGGCAGCAATAACTTCAACCAAACGTTTCCTGTAGTTGCAGATCAGACGTGCACAACGGTCAGGAGTAATTCTTGACCATTCCTCTTTACAGAACTGTTTCAGTTCAGCAATATTCTTGGGATGTCTGGTGTGAATCGCTTTCTTGAGGTCATGCCACAGCATCTCAATCAGGTTGAGGTCAGGACTCTGACTGGGCCACTTCAGAAGGCGTATTTTCTTCTGTTTAGGCCATTCTGTTGTTGATTTACTTCTATGCTTTGGGTCATTGTCCTGTTGCAATATCCATCTTCTGTTGAGCTTCAGCTGGTAGACAGATGGCCTTAAGTTCTCCTGCAAAATGTCTTGATAAACTTGGGAATTAATTTTTCCTTAGATGATAGCAATCCGTCCAGGCCCTGACGCTGCAAAGCAGCCCCAAACCATGATGCCCCCACCACCATACTTCACAGTTGGGATGAGGTTTTGATGTTGGTGTGCTGTGCCTTTTTTTCGCCACACATAGTATTGTGTGTTTCTTCCAAACAACTCAACTTTGGTTTCATCTGTTCACAGAATATTTTGCCAGTACTGCTGTGGAACATCCAGGTGCTCTTGTGCAAACTGTAAACGTGCAGCAGTGGCGTAGCGTGGGTTGTCAGCACCCGGGGCAAGGCAAGTAATTTGCGCCCCCTAACCCGTGGATTTTAGCACTCGAGTCTCTTCCACTAGATTAGTTAAAGAAACCCTTACCCCCCAAGCACATGTATTGTTTGTTATGAAAATACTTATGTAATTAAAGTAAAATGCATCTAAATACAAGTTTATTTTCCAACACTTTATTGAGTGCGAACATGCATTACACACATTCTCCACATTTTCAGCAGGTCTATGAATACAAATATACAAATGTAGTAACCTAGCATGGGCCATGCTATTATATGTCGTCTCACAACCATCGTAAACGACAAAAAATATCAAGAACAAAAACTAAACATCAAAATGGAACCATACCCTGGAGATGATCCAAGACTGGGCTAGATGGAGCCAACTTCCTCAATCCTGTACCTCTAATTGTAATTCTTTAATAGAAGTGCAAGATATCAATATGTATATAATATACAGATTAATTTAAATTCGCCTGCTTTTAATTAGCGCAAATTTTTCAACAACGGAATAGTGTTTCTTTAATGTGAGGTAAATTAGAGATTAGTGCCACAAATAATATACTAGATGAGGATGATGATGGGCTCTAGCTGCAGTCTGGCTCCACTGGTCTGGTGTAGAACAGGCTCTCTGGAGGCTGTTTGTAACTGTGGTCACAAAAATCAATATACTAGGACAGTGATGGCGAACCTATGGCACGCGTGCCACAGGTGGCACGCCGGGCCCTTTCTGTGGGCACGCGGCCACAGGTTCGCCATCAATGCAGAGTAGGCGCCTGCCTGCCCGAAACGGCAGGCGCCTACTCTGCTTCCGTGTCGGGAGGCAGGGGGAGGGCTCCAGGAAGCAGCTCCCCTGTCCTCCCGCGCGATGCTGTGTGGAGCGTTG